CTAATGTAATTTTTTGATGTAGTGTATAACTAGTATTAAGAAATTAAAAAAAAAAATTATTTGATAATATAACATAATAAAAAAAAGCAAAAAGATAAAAATTATATAAAATAAGAAGTCTCTCTGTGCAATCCAACATGTTTGATAGATAAATATTTTACCTATTACGAGTAATTTTTATAAGTACTTGTTGAATTAGGTTTGATTATAATCCTTAATTTCAAGTTTACATTAGCACTACTACATGCCCTTGCAAGATTGGAGTTAGCTCTATCTTGGTTTTGAGGGTGTCATGAGGAGGAAGAGGCTTGCTTAGTAATTTTGCAAGTTCATGACTAGTAGGCACATGAGAAAATGCATTTTTCTTTAAGCAACCAAATCTTTAACAAAATTATAGTTTATGGCCAAATGTTTCATTTTGGAGTAGAAAAATGGGTTGGCACATACATATGTAGCTCCTATGTTGTTTGAAAATGTTGTTGAAGCAATAATAGGTAGACCAAGCTCCTGAAAAGTTGTTGTAACCAAAGTAATTTGGCAATGGTATTGACAATTGTCTTGTATTTAGCTTCAGTGGAAGATCAGTCAACTGTTGGTTGCTTTTTACAAGATCATGAGACTACATTCGAATCAAAATAGATTAAGTAAGCTCTCATGGATTTCCTATCTTGGGTATCACCACTCCAATTAGCAGCACAAAAGGCATTAATGGTGAGATCAAATAATTGAATAAGATGAAGACCATGTGAGATTGTCAACTTTAGATAGCGCAAAATTCGATTAAGAGCCTACATATGTGTTGAGGTTAGGGATTGCATGTGATGTGTTGAGCCAGTTTGTTGATAGAAAAGGCAACATCTAGATGAGTGATAAAAAAAAATATTGCAATAAGCCAAAAATATTGTGAAATAAGTTGTTGTGACATGTAGGGAAGTTTAGAATAGTGACTAATGAGAATGATGTGGTCATAGGTATGGACACTGTTTGAAATTAGTCATGTTTGCTCACAAGAGGAGTTGTCTATGTAATGATACTGAGTTAGAAATATTTCAATTCTTAAGAAATGACTTGGTTGGCTAAGATATTTTAATGAGAATATAGATTCAAGAGATGCCTTAAACTCTTCAAGAAAGATTAAATTGTTTCTTATGAACAGTAGATCATTTACATAAATTGAAAAGTAGGCAATGATAGAACATAATTTATAGATGAATAAAGAAACATTTGACTTAGAGTTCTTAAACTCATAATTAGTGAGGAAGTCATGTGAGCATGAAACCAAGCATGTGAGGCTTGTTTGAGGCCATACAAGGCTTTTTGAAGCTTGCAAATATGATAAGGAAGAGTGAGATGAATGAAGCCTACTAATCGAGACATGTAGACATTTTCTTGAATGTAGCCATTTTTGACATCAATTTGAGTTAATGGCCAACCTTTTGGAAAAGCAAGACATAATACTACCTTGATGGTTTGTGGTTTAATAACTGGATTGAAAGTGTCACTGAAATCAAGTTTTGGTTGTTGATGAAACTCTTTAGAAACTAATCTCGCTTGGTATCTAGCAATTGAACCATCTAGATTGCGATTCAATATTCATCCATTTATTACCTATAATATTGTAGTGAGGTTTAGATGGCACTAAAGTCCAAGCGCTCGTGCACATGAGGGCCATAAATTCATCACTCATTATTTTTGTCATGTGAGATTTTTAAGTGCACATGTATGACATAGGTGAGTTCCATAAAGTCATCTAATGGATACTTACTAACCAAATTTACCTTCTTTTATTTGAAATTTTCACTTTTGAAATGAGTTGTTATTGGATGAGATCAAGTAACAAACTTATCATTGCACAGGATAGTGGTTGTTGGGTGGTCTAGAATTAAAGGAGATTTGATTGGTGTTATGGCGATAGGTGATTGACTTGATGAGGTGACAATTACAATTTGAATTGGAGAGTATTTTTGTTAAAGTGGTGGAGAACGAGAATTAGTTGAATCAAGGTGGAGAATAGTTTGGTTGAAATAAAGCTTAAGAGATTAAGAGTGTTCTTGATTTTAAAATGGGATTCTAAAGCTTTAAAAGTCATCAACAACCGACTAAAATCAAATTTTTTAGTTGCAACCCTCTAAGGTTTTTTAAATAGGGTTTCAAAACCCTACGAGATCTTCTAAGTTTGTTTCTCTCGGTAAATAGCACAGTCATATACACCAATATCCATGATCATGCATATGCTTCGAAGCATGGGCATGCTTATTGTGGCATAACCTTATTTTTCATCTAATTTAGGCCTGAAATGTACCAAAAATTCAATTGCGACATTCACATGTTAAACTACACAATTAATATCAAAATTAGTATAAAATCTTAATAAAATAATGGTCATGTATATAGATATAAGTTGTAAAAATATGTAAAAATACAAACTTAGCAACCCTTTATACTTGAGATTTGTTTGCTCTCAAATAAAGTCTTTAGCAAAGAGTAAGCAAATAACTTAAAACCAATTATCACAAAAAGGAATCCAAGACACACGAGATCAGAAGGACAATAGGTGTAATATCATTGAACATAAGTAATAAAAATGTTCCCCAATTAGAATCTTATAGTCTCCAACTTTTTTTCAAACATTAAACTAGGGTACTCTACTTTTCTTTATATCTCTCTAAGGATCTAGGGACAAAAAGGAGATCTCACTTAGTCCTTCCAAAGAGAACTATACTATCATAAACTTGACCATAAACCAACTTCCTACTAAGTAGATTGAATGCAAATAAAAATTATGAAGTCTTTTTCAGGTTGTAATATGACCAAAGAGTTTTAATAGTTAAAGGTGAGATAGATGAAACAAAAAAGGATATGCAAAAGAGCAATAAGTTATAAAAATTATCAAACAATCGTTAAGTTTATAAATAAAGCTCTTGGAGTATTTATTTGTTTATTTATTTCTAATCAATCTGTTTACTCCTCCTTTCTTCCATTTAATTGTAACATTTTTTCTTTTCCTTTTTCTATTTTTATTCTTCTTTATATTTGCACATATTTTCTTTCTTTGTGCACATAAGAAAAGTATAGCACAATTCATTAAAAGCTAGCTACTTCATAAATAATTCAATCCAATTATTTCATTCATAAACTTAAGGTCATCAAAATATTTTATATAATTTAATGCAAGGGACAAAAAGAATCAATAAAGCTCAAAGTGGACAATTAATTGTATCTCAAAAGAGTAGTTTCAAGTTAAAGGCTAATTCTTCTTTGAATTATTTTTCAGTTGCATAGAATTTAGAGAAAGAGGAGCAGTATCCTTAGTACTCACAAAATTATAAGATTTAAGGCTAGAAGGGTACTTAAAAAAATTAAAAACTTGAAAACAATTTGTTTCATCATGTAACTTTAACATAAGAAAGGTATGCCTAGGATGATGGAGATCTCATCATCTTCTTTCATGTCAAGCAGCACAAAATCAACGAAAAATATAAACTCTTTAATATTTACAAGTATATTTTCTACTATGCCCTTGGAGTATGTAATTGACCTATTTGCCAGCAAAAGTGACGTGGTGGTCGGCGTAGGTTTATGTATCTCAAACTTCTTGAAAATAAAATAGGGTATAAGGTTAATATTAGTTCCTAAATCAAAGGGCTTTATGAATATGAGTTTTTCCAATGGTGCAAGGAATAGTAAAACTCCTCGAGTCCTTAAGCTTAGGTTGAAGTTTTTTAACGACTATAGCTAAATATTCTTCATTGAGCTTTACAGTTTCATGCGCTTTAAACTTCCTCTTATTGCTTAAGATTTTCTTGAGAAATATAGCGTACTTTGGCACTCTAGAAATAGCAATGATAAAAGGAAAATTAATGTACATTTTGCTCAATAGAAGTAAGAATTTGTCAAACTTTGAGTCTACTTGTTCGCCCGTAAGTCCTTGTGAGAAAGGTATTCTAGGCTCATAAGGCCTTAGATGCGTAGGAGGTTCTTTTTTCTTTTCTTTTTTAGGCTCTACATTTGAAGTACGATCTTGCATAATAGGTTGCATGGCCATGCATGTTGGGGCATAGGCATGCATATCTAAGCATAGTCATGCTTCTTGGGAAGCAAGGGCATGCTAATAAATAAGTAAATGAATGCCTATAGAGGGAGCATGGACGTGCATATCTTAAAGCACGAGTGTGCTTGGATCTATGCTTTTGATTCCTACACCTTCTTCCTACTTTTTAGAGTAATGACATTTCATTTCTCCCTTAGATTAGGTTTGGATTAGAGTGACAATGTTCTAAGTGTCCTTTAAGTCAAAAGACTAGTAAGTTGTTTTTGCTGTGACTTGATTTGAAGACGGAGATCTCATCTCTAATTTAATCTCTATGAACCTTTCATCCTCCCTTTCAATGTGTTGATCTAACTGAGATTCAAGTTTTGATAACCTCTTATCAAAACAATGCCCAAATTGTATCCTTTTCTCTTAAAAATTGAATTGAGATCTATAGATGTCCTTCCCTTCTAGTCTTGATCATTGGTTCTGCACATGAGGAGGGTGATAAACATTTAAATTTTTCCTTCTAAAGTCATTCTCCAAAGTATTGGGAGAATTACTTCGCCAGCCCCAAATTGTAATTATTGCCCATGAAGTTAGCTTTTTCTTTATTTTTGGTGATTGGATAGATGGTACTATCATGACCTATAGAGCTGTAGTGCACACATTCAGAAGTTGCAGGTGGCTTTGTTGATTATCCATGTATCCTTATTAGAGATTTCACTTGCTTAGTTTGAACTTGCTATTGGTCTACTATTGGATTGATACTTTCAGACTGTAATAGTCTCTTTTTTTTTACTCATACAATGATTAGATGTATGCCACGTAAAGCTGGCACATGTCATCTCATCTATCAATGCCTCATTTGGATATTTTCTCATTAAGGCTCATCCAATTGCTATATCAATTGTGGCCCTATTGAAGAGTGAGAGTCCCCTATAAAAAACTTGCATGTCTTCAAACAAAAAAACTATAATGTGGGCACTTCCTTAAAAGCTCTCTAAATCATTTTCACGCTTTAAATAAAGATTTAGACTTATATTGCTAAAAATTGGATATTTCTGCCATAAGCTTAACAGATCTAGATGGGGTAAAGTACTTTCAAGGAATTGCTGAATCAAATCCTCCCATGTTGTGATGGAGTTTGTTGGTAGCATATCAAACCATTCATTCACCTTTAATGTAATGTGATAACTAATAGTAAAATGTGAAGCCTAATAGCATTATTGGTGACCTTGTTGTACTTTATAATATGTGAGCTAGAGAAATTTTGTTAAGTAAAGGTTGGGGTTTTCATTAGACATTCCTCCAAAGTATGCATAATTTTGAACCATAATAATCAATACTGACTTTAACTCAAAGTTATTGGCCTCCACATTAAGAGTCGTAATGCGAAATAAAACAGAATAAATTGAAAATAAAGATTAACAAAAAAATTTCAAAAGCAGAATTAAATGAAAATAAGAATTGTTCAAATCAATTAAATACTATATTTTCTTAATATTTGAAAAATAATCACTGATGGCGCCAAAAACTTGTTCATGAGCAAGTATACCTGTTGAAAAGCAATAAGGATTCTAAAATAAGTTCTTGAAATATCGTCCTACAAGGATTGTTTCTAAGTACTAAGAATATCTTATTTCAATTGTTTGAACTTAAGGGGTGCAAAATTAAATAAAATAAGGATTTAAGATGAAGAGCAATTAGAGATTTAAGAAAATAACACAACCTATGACAATAACTTATCCGAGATGAATTATGGGCATATGGTTTCACCTTTATACTTCTGCATCTTTACTTTTAAATTAATTCTAACTTTGGTTCTCTTGTGATTGCTAATCATTCATATTACATTTATTAACGCCCAATAGTTATACAATGTTAAGAGTCTTTACTCTAAATTATTACTCTTAATGGTCATGCAAGATAAAAGAAAGAGAAAATATAAAGAGCATATAAACTGTTATTTTAATAATGATTGGAAGAGAAGAACTAAGCTTGATTTACCTAATTCTCTGTCTTATTTTACCCTATAAATCCATTAACTATATGTGGTACAAATTACCTATAATATAATTAATTATGATATGTTAAGATTTGTCAATTCCAAACACACAAATTATAGCATAATAGAATAAACACCCATCAAGAAATGAACTGAAATTATCATTAATCACAAAGAATACATAGAGTCATGCAAAGGATCCATCATAGCTTCAATTATGAATTTAGCTAGACATAATGCAATAGAAAATCAAAACAACAATTTATCAATTCATAATCATTCAAAGAATAAACGTAAACTAGAGAAGTTTCCAATAGAGAAGAGATGAAGAGAGTTATTGATTCTAACATGTGCTCCAAAATCTCTAAAATTGTCAACGGGTACCCAAAACTGAGATTTTTCAGTCACAACCCTCAAGGTTCTTTAAATAGAATTTTAAAACTCTACAAGTTCTTTTAACTTTGTTTCTCTCGATAGGCATGGTTGTGTACATACTTTGAAGTATAGACGTGTTGGCTATTAGAGCATGGGTGTGCTTGTTGTAAAATGACCCTTTTGTCATTTAATTTGGACTCAAAATGCACTCAAAACTCAATTATTATCTTCTTATGTTAAAATGCATAATAAATATCAAAATCAAGATAAAATCTTAATAAAATAATATTCATATCTATAGATATGAGTTATAAAAATATGTTAAAATATAGAATTATCAGGAATTTAATAATATAATATTTTATACAAAAAAAATAGTATTAAAATGAAAGAAATACAATAGGAATTCATGTGATTTGATAGATCATACATTTGATAAGTGTAACAGAGTTTATTTTACATTTGTGCTATTTAATACATAGTTGGTATTTAACTGGAAGCGAATATAACTAAAATAAACTCTTTTCTTTTAATTTATTTTTTAAAGTTTTACCTAAAGTTAAAATATTCATGAAATATACGCAAAGTTTCTAGTTAATATAACTGTATATAAAAATTTGTTTATTTTCAGGTTGTTAAAATCATTTTTATTTGACAGAAGGAAAAATCACCGATAAAATCATCAAACTTTAATCTAAATGCTTTTTGTCTCAAAACATCTTAACTAAAGCTCTTTTTTTATAAGAACCTAAAATTTAAGAAAGATTTGTTCACCAATATGCTTGAAGAGACTGTTAGGTACTATTTTACAATAAAGTAGTCAGCGTAAACTGATTATGTTTTCTCATCTTAGTTGAACTAGTATTATAGTCTTTTTTTTTTTATTTCCTTTAAAGTAGAATGTGAATGGTTTGATTTTATCTAAAATTAAACCAAATTTGATATCAAAACTTATCACTTTCTCTAATTCTTTTTATAAGAAAATTTCAATTAAATAACACATGTTAAAATAATTTATATATTAATTTTAAAAAAATTAATTGTAGCATTCTAAGTTTGCATCTAGTTAAAGTCAAATTTTTTTCGTTACATTAATTGTTAGAAGGTTAGAAATATCCAATAATAATAATAATAATAATAATAATAATAATAAAAATAAAATAATATAATTTTGGCCAAACTAATTTAAATTTGTTACAAATTAGTATAAAAAAAATATTTTGTTAAAAAATGAGTTTGAAATTAACTTTTTATCAGAATTAGTTGACAAAATTATTTGCTAAATAATAAGTCATTTTGGTTTAAAAATCAGTTTAAATTATTTGAATCTACTATATATGATTTGATTAGGATTATGGTTTGATATGGATTAATTGATTTTCTTATACAATCCTACTCTAAAGGGATTGTTTGTATATAAAAATCTCTTCTGTTTTTTCATACTATTTCTTTTGTTAGAAAATGGACTCTGATCCTTTTCATTTTAGGATTATTTAGTTTTCATTATTTATTTATGCACCGTAATCCATATTTGATTTAGTAATGAAAAACACAAGCCAAGTTATTTTCTTCGGTCAAAATTGTAGAGGATGAGAAATTGCTATGACAAAAAGCATAAACATATTATAACTCACATTATCTCGTGTCTTATACCAATATCATAAATAAGAGTAATGTCAGAAATATAATTTTTTACACATTTTTTATAATATATTTTTTAGAGACAAAATCTTTTTATACTAATATAAATTTAAAATTTTTTATATTTGATCTAAACTTTTCATTTAAGTTATATCTATAAAAATAAATTATAATTTGTTAGATGTAAATTAAATGAAAAACTCAGATAAGTGTAAGAGTTTTTAAACTTACACTAATATGAAAAAATTATTTCTCATTTTTGTTATTAGTTGAAATTTATTACAAAAATTATATTGGTGTCACTTTTCCACTCTTAAATTAATATTTTTTTTAATTTTTAATAAATTTTAACTAATAATAAAATATATATTAAAAAATATATTTGAAAGTGTTTGAATCGAATTAGTCAAACATTACTTGAAATACAAAAATATCAGGTTTTTAAATTTTACCCAAATTATTAATATTGGACTAGTTGGAGTCAATAAAACAGCCCAAATCCTACTAACTGTTGTGGGCTGGACCCATTTGAAAAAGAGGAAAAGGTAGACCGAGGAAAAAAAAAGAATAGCGAAAGAAAAAACAAATAGCTGACACAGCCGACAATTTCATTGCTTTAGGATCAACCTGTCTGGCCCTTCAAATAAGAGTATTGTTCTTTTTACAACTATTTCTCATAGTTCTGATTTTTTTGAAAAAATAAATCATTAATAGTATATTATAATAAATAAAAAGTATATTTATATATCATAAGATTATATTAATTTTAAAAATATGCATAATATTAAATATTCAAATGAGTGATTAACATTATTAGTACAATGTAACACAAATAATAATGTGGAGTTAGGCTGGGCTGTCACATTGTTGTAACTTCGTCCATATGTTAATGCATTTAAGGATAAAATTTTAAAATAAATTTAAAGCCCCTTCGACAGTTGAACTCCACCACTATTCTTCCCTTCTTGATGGGAACTTGGAAAGAAATCAGTGTTGAAAATGGCACAACATCTGTACAGATACTTTGCTTCAGGAGTCTTGTCAGACCTTACAATTTTAATATTTAATATATTAATCATATTTAATGATATAATTATTAATAAAATTTGTTAATTTTTTTATTCTATGCTCTTTGGTACATATTAGAAAAATTATTTAAATTATGTCTCTGAAAAGGTGGCCTTGCTCTGATCACAGACAATTTGAAGTGTAGAACAAGAAAGTGAGCAAATGTAGCTCAGGTCACATGAAAATTTTCAATGAGTCTTCCACTTAGAAAACTCATAATATCAATTTGTATTGACATATAAGTTTTTATAAAAATTATAAACATACAATTAAAAGTATTCGAAATATCTATGCAGCATCCAATATTAAGGTACCCTACATACACAATTACAGCATAATAAAAGACGGAGAAGGTAATACAACAGGGAACGTGACAGAAAGATGGAGAAACATTTGTTGTAATAAAAATTTATCGTAAAAATTTATTATAATAATATTAAAACTCAATTTTTAGAGAATGTTAATAATACAATAAATTTGTAAAATTTTTTTATAAAATAAAAAAAAAAGATGAAACTAATAATAAAATGAGCAATACAATAACAACAATCTAGATTTATCTCACCAAATAAATTTAGCTGTATATAATGTTAGAGTAATAAAAAAAACTCAACTAGACAATCTGATCTAATAAAAAAACTTAACTAGAGAATCTTATCTCTAACTCATATGGGTAAAAAAATTAATAAATCAATAATTCGGTGGACTAAAAAATCCATAGCAACAAGGTTAAGGCTAAGTTTTATGAGTAAAAAATAATTACTAATATATACTTTAATGATTTATACAGAAAAAAAAAATAGCTTTTCTTAAGATCAAATCAAATTAAAATTTTAAAGAAATAATTATTTTAATTTATTTATTTATTTGTATGAAGTAAAAATTTCATTATAATAATAAAAAGATTATTTATTATATTACATAGAGTTTTATTATTGTTAAATAATAGTAATACTTTTTATATACTATTATATAAGCACAAGTT